GACCCAGAAACAATAGGGAGGAACTGACTTAGAGTGAGCTCCGTGCAGCAAACAAGAATAGGCCAGGGTGTGTCAGAGAGAGAGTGACAAAGCATTTTATGTTTACATGAGAAAATAAATGCTGTCAATACAATTAAGAGCCAAACTCCATTTAGCTTTTACTTCTGATTGAGTATGGAAGAGGATGTGCACTCTGTGATCCCATGCAGCTGAAACATTTGGCTGTCATTCTTACAGGAAAAGCAAGCTCCCTGTGGAAATCACACCTGCTGGCTATAACTAAAATTCACAGAACTAACATCTGCCTCAGCTTTGGCATCTGTCTCTATTTCTAGATATGCACAGGAGTAGCTGAAAGCACAGTCTCACAGTCTGGACTGTCCCTGACTCCACTGGATGGTCCTCAAGTCCAGGAGCTGGGGTAATTCATTTGAGGAATGAATAATGCCGGCTGAGGATTTGAAATTCCTATTCCTAGCCCACACTTCCCTGGAGAGAGAATGGGGGAGTTAAAAACTCAGTTGTATTGCATGTCACTAGAAATACCATTTCAGAGTGAAATTCAAGAGTTTCACAGGCACACACAAGATGTTTGGAACTCATGTGATTCCATTTCTCTTGCTTTAGAAGAGCTTCATATCATATTCATATTTTTCTGTCAACAACTTAAATCCTTTCTAAAGCTAAATATTGCCTATTTATTTAAATCTATACCTTCATCCTTTTGTCTCAAGGGTCTAATCCTCTTGTTTTCTTGGGATAGAATGCATTTCTTGGTAACTAAAACTTTCTTTATTATTTTCTAAAGCATATTTACCAACACTGATATCACAAAGATAACTGCCTAGATCAGCAGTTCTTTTCTGTATGTGAAACACTGTGATGGACAGTTTTGAGCTATGATTACCACCCAGCTGATTTAGAGATGAGGTCTTCTTCACCATGCACACTTTGAGCATTAAATTTATTATTTATTTCTCTCTGTCTACCTGCTAACAGACTGAACCTTACAGAAATCATCTCAATGCTGGAGATTAGAATCTAGCCTCCTGTATTTCCAACACCTTTCTCAAACTAGGACTTTGTTAGTTATAAAGTGTATAGCCAGAACAATAGCAATTGTTGTATTAAGTGAAAAGGATATATATTATGAGTGGTTTTTGGTTGCCTCAAATCTACCTTCACAGCACATTAGCATAAAGATTTGTTCAAACACACAACATGTGGTTGTTCTGGCCTTAGGCTGGTACAAAGACAAGGCCCAGCGACAGCAACATTCACAATTCAAGTTTGCAGCATAACTTCTCCAAATGCCAGCACTGGCTCAGTCAATAACATGCTGCACATGCTGGGCTTGTGTGCCACCCTGTCAATGTGTGTTGCTTCTGGAACTATTTTTGCTTCTGAAACTGTTTTAGGAACAGGAGCACAGGAGAACTGACATTCAGGACTCATCTGCAGCTTTCAGCTCCACCTTGAAGCAGGCATGCCCTTTGGGAATGGTGCTTTTGGGGACCCATCCTCATCTAAGTTCACCAGCACAAGGGAGAGGGAAGGGAAGCACTGCTGAGTTCTTACTCCATATGTGTTGTATAGGGACATTTCCTAGCAGTAAATATTTAAGAAGCAGCAGAGGAAAAGATGCAAGCTGCATACAGCCAAAACAGATGTAGAACATCTGAGTGAAGGGTGAGGAAGAAGAAAAGTATCAGTGACTATTGGAACAGTCCTGCTACTACTGCGTCATAAGCAAAAAGAGGCCACTGTGGGAAAAACTGCAATCCATTGCCAATGCAATTTAGCATTTATAGATCGTGCATAAGCATGGCAAGATCTCAAGACCTACAGACAATGAAAGTCATCAGGAGATCACAGTACATAATACCATGAAAGACAGTCCAAACCAAATAGCTTCAGATTTCTTCCTTAACAGTTAAAAAGATGAGTAGAAAAGGAGCGCGCCGGCGGAGCTGCGGGCCGCGCTGGAAGGCTCTGATCGCTGGGCAGAACTGGAGATGCTCGGGCGCCCTCAGGGAACAGCGCCGGGAGGCGCTGGCGGAGCGGCCGCCGAGCCCGGCCCGAGCGCCGCAAAGGGCCCCGACCCGCGGCCCCGACACACGGACCCGGCCGGGGCAAGGACCCCAGCTGTCCATGCCCCTAACCTGCCCGGGATTGAACCCGCCGACAACAGCCATTCAATCCTGCGGTTTCATTAGCTAAGAAAACACTTCCAGTTTGAGGAACTATGAATTGCCCACATGGCAAAACTACATTCCTTTCAATCAGCTTCAGCTGTATGTGTGTCCAGCTTTCTACACAACTTCTGCTTTTGCTGTCCTCTGCTCCTGTAAAACTCTTTGTGCTCATTTGCCAGTGTTCCCTTGTCAAAATCAAACCTTACCAATAGGATCTTGAAGCAGATGATCCTGCCTTCTTATCATAAACAATTTCCTCTACTAAACAGATTTTGTGCCTTCATGGTAGCAAACAGAGCTCTTTGGAGACGGGCTTCTTACTTGCACAGGTCAGCAAGTATTTACATAGAGATGTACAACGATACAATGAGATAATTAGTGAGTTACATTAATAAGTCATGACAACATCATTACAGAGGCAGAACTCCTAATCAAGGCAAAAAAGTGTTTAGAGAAGGGACTCAGAAGAAAATTCTCTCTTCCTTTCCTGTGTCATTTACATCAATGGTGAAATCAGAAACCATTATTTAGATTCTGTTTACCAGGTTAAAAAGGTTTTTGGCGCTTAGGAAATTATCTTTATCACTTGGTATTTTTAACTATTTAGAGGAGAAATTACAAATATTCACTAATATATTTGAGGAGAGTACCTGATTTATACAAGATAGCCAAGCACGCATATTCAAATTTAATTTCTAAGAAGCTATTTTAAACAGTCTTTTAATACTACATATAAAAAGGAGTGGAAAAAGCACAAGAACAAATGCAGAAGCATACCCCACGATGCCATCACAATTCACTTAAGTAATTTTCCCCGAAAATTACTGCAAATTTAACATCAGTCTGGGCCAGCAATGAGGTACTTCTTCCTTTTATATTTATCTCAGACAGCACCTACTGAAAGACATTTCTAAGCATTGTACTACAACAATCAAACCTATGTCAATTAGCAATTTCTTGTGCTTTTCAGAAATTAATGATGCAATATATTGTATATATACAGCAACAGGAGATATCAAAGACCCCAAAGGCTACATTTCAGCACCCAGTTTAATGTGAATTAAAGTTTTCCAGGCTGAAGATGCCACTTGCTTCTGCCACACAACAGGCAGGAGAACCTCTGATCACTGGATTTGGCAGCTTGCTGAGACAATCTTTACTGAAAGTCTGGCCTCCACACAGGGTATCCCAGCAGAAGCCCTTAAATAGCCCTCTACTAGGAGTAGGTAATAAGGGAAAAATCAACATGCCTAGCTATTGAGAAAAAAATTACTCCAAAGATTGTTGAAGTAAAAAGAGATAAAACTTTGGGAAGAGGAGGTTGCAGGAAGGGGAAGGATTTACTCAATTACTCAAGTAATGGCCCCACCATGAATGAGTACAGGAGGTGTAAAGAGTGAGACTAGACCCTATGGGGAGGTAGTTCCAACATAAGAGGAATTCTTGAAACAACCACCGTGAGTTTGCGCTTGAGAAATCATCACAGTTCCTGTAATTACACAAGCGCACACTGCCCCCAGAAGGCAGCATCCCACACTTTCCCACTCATGCTGCCTTTTTCTGCTCCCTCACTTGCCTGCACCAAGGATAGTTAAATACATGGAACACCACTCTTAAAGAGAACATTAAGTAAACTAGGACTCTTCAAATTAGATAGATAACAAATTAAAATGATGTGAAACTTGCATATAAAATAACAAGGGGATTCAGAGAAAGAGAGAAAAAAGAGAAAGAAGCAGATAAGTGCCATAAACATATCCTGTTCATTAAGTAGCTAGTCCTGGTATTGTCTCCTGGAATTCAGCAAGCCAGGTAGCCTAAGGCTTGCTAGGTGAGTATCAGGCTAGCAGGCCTCAGAACAACGGGGTGACATGGTCCTCCAGAGCTCCTCACATTGCTGCTGCCACCCTGGGCTCCCCAAAAGTACATCAGAGCAGAGAGAAACACCCTCCAACCACACAGCCTGAGCCTTGAATGGACTGGACAGAACTGAGCTGGTACTTTCTGAAGGAATCGGGTAAGATCTCTCAATCTCAAGCAAGGTTCTGAATGCTCCCTCCAGCTGTCATCTGGGCCTTCACAAATAGATCACAACCCTGAGCAGAGGTATGCAGACCTTGAGAAAGCCACGGATATTTAAGTGGCTGCTACCTTCAGAGAAATTTTTTGCATGGTCTTCTCACTTTGTTTATATTTATTGAGATACTCTTTTCCTCCAATGCCTGGAAGAGCTTTAAAGTGTTTTCCAAACTTCCACTTTGCAGAACAACACACATGCACAACTACAGTAATATAATTCCCTTTATCATTTCCTAACAGGGTTAAAATATTAAATTCTGACCCCACAGGATACTTTGCTGTAAACAAAGTGAAATTTATGCTTTCATAAGTCAACTGTTCAGCGACAGCACAAGCAGCGCTCCTGGAACTGCAGAGGAGAGCGATCCAGAGGGATGCCTGGCTCAGGCCAGCCGGGTGAGATGAAGACTAAAGCAATCGGAGGATATTGCAACTTACGACAGCGAGAACATTCCACGTACCTGGGCAGAGTGATGGAAACCCTCGCTTGCGAATGCGGAGCCCGCCTGACACCGGGGAGGACAACGCGGCGGGGCCTGCGGGGACGGGCGGCTGCGGACGCCAGGGGGCGCCCCCGGACAGCGCCGCGGCCCCTCTCTGCGCCCGGGCTGTCCCGGGACATCCCGGGGGTGCCAGAGTAACCCCGGGTGTGCCAGAGTATCCCGGGACATCCCGGGGTGTCCCAGAGTATCCCGAGGCATCCCGGTATACCCTGATCCCGGAGGGGCATGGCCGGGCAGCAGCCACCGGGGCCGTGTGGACGGGTGCGGGCACTGGCCTGCACTGGCTGCAGACTCACTGCCTGCTACTCGGCTGCGGCCCAAGACACAGCAGCACTTAATTTTAGTTTTACCCGTGAGGGGTTCAAAGTGTGACTCGGATGAGATGTTGGGGGTTTTTTTGAGTCGTACTTTGTGTCCTTAGTAGTCACTTAAATTTGACTTAAAGATTTTAAAGACAGGACCTGTTCAAACTTCTTCAAAAATTTACACTGACAGAAAAATTTCAAATAAATCAATACGTTTATGCAGGCTGTAGGAAGTGCCTTGTCTGGATTTTTGGCTATCTGAACAGCAACTCAAGATTGCTGAAAATGTACAATTGAAGCTGTGCCTAGCTCAGCCCCAAGCACAGGCTGTAGTGCAGGTGATGAAATTCAGCACTTACCCACTGTGAAGGCTGCTGTGGCTCTGAGGTGTGTGAGGGAATGGCTGGGTGTGGTGCTCGCCCTCCTCGAACAAATCACCCTCCTGAGTCTAATTCCTGCAATGCCCCGACAAGTAATCAGCAAACCCAGTCAAAATTGGGACTCTCCTGCAAGACACTTAATTGTAAACACAACAAGAAGAAAGAATTGATCAAAGAGCAAAAGGATAATACACCATGAAACATTTCTATGGCAACATCTAGCTTAAAATTAACAGGCTCTGAGAGCTCATTATTGTTGAAAAATTATTTTCAAATATAGGCTCTGTGGCCTAAGGCACTTCATAGGAGTTGAGACCAATTGGAAAAGGTCAATGCCCCCAGACACTTTACATTTGTAAATATAGACCTGGAGCTGTCATATTTTAAGTACTGGCTCCACAGTAGCCTCAGCAAGCCCTATGCTTTTTCCTTTTATCTTTTTATTTGCAAGATGTGATAGCAGTTATCTCTCCCATAAATCACAAACAGGGCTCTGACTGACAACTAGTATATAAAGAATGAAGGCTTATTAACAGTCACTGAAGTTATGCCAACTAACAACCCTGCAAGTTCATGCTGTTTGGCTGTGGGTGTATTCATTTAGCTAATGAATATCAGTGTGTGGGATTAACCAGATAAACCTGTAGCCAGTGAGAAATGAATACTATGTAGGGTGTGCATCCCTCTCAGCAATCCATGATTAATAGATTCTACTAGAGTCTATGCTCTTCATAAATTCCAGAATAATGAGCCCCAGTTTGCTTGGGGAACTTAATTTTTCTAAATGTAATACTCTGGAGGCTATGGCTCCCCAGGTGACTTACAAAGGACAAACAAAAATTCAGGAGAGAAACAGTTTTTGCAGTTGAACCTAAATGTGCATCCCCATTGCAAACAGGAGGAGGGGCTGTTGTTTGCAGCTTAGGTTCCCAGGGCTGTTTGCCATGGCCAAGAGAAATGTTTACTACAGCTGTAATCTGTTATGTGCTGTTGATTTTAATTGCTTTTCAAAATGTGAAGACAACTGTGATATTTGGAAGAGACTGGCAAGCTGCACTAATAAGCTCTGTTGTGCAGCAGATCTAGTTCACTATGTGCTCTGCAGGCTTCTCTGCAAAATCTTGACAGTATCCTGGGGAGTGAGGAAGGAAAGGAAGGATCTTAGACATGCCCTACCCAGCCAAAGAAGTGAGCCTGATTCACTGCTTCTCCTGGGTCTGTATCCACAGAAGCCTAAGCCCTTCCTTAGAAGACCCTACAGAAAGCAGCCAGCTATAGCCACAGAGCTATGGTGATACTAGTAATTAATTCTTATTGTAAAAGCAACACTGACCATCAGATTTACACAAGTTATTTGGTCCAGCAAGAACTGTCTTGGAAATTAGTAACAAGTCCTTGGGTTAGAAATGGGTAGCCAGCAAGGCACCTTGGTTGAGGACTCAGAGGGGTTCCTCAAAGATTTGGGAACACTCCAGCTCCAGGCTAATGATCATCTGGAGGCTGTTTCCAAAAGGTTTCAGCCCTTGGTCTCAGCTGGTGATGTAAAAAGGAAATTCTTTGCTTCACTCCACTAGGCAATTGGTATTCTGTGACATTGACTCACCTAGAAGTGTATTGGAGGTGCAGTGTGGGTGCTGGTTACAGCTGGGTGCTCTTGTGATGGGAAATGGTGCAGTTTGCTTCATCCAGCCCCTTCTAGTCCAAGAGTGTGGCTTCTTCCTGGGGCTTGTGTGGTCTCAGCCCCAAATGCAGAGTGTTTTTCACTAGCAAGACATGAGCCAAATGAGAATGACATGTCAGACGGTTAAGACTTACTTCAGCAAAGCTGTATTCTATAGACTCCACAGACAGCTTTTTTTTTTTTTCAGCTGTGAACTGGAAAAATCAGAAAATGAGGAAAAAAACATCAGCCAGGGAACTAGTATAAACTGGCAGATTAAAACACAGTAATAGAGCAAAGCTATTGCTCTCATCCTGTCACACCCAGATACCCAGAAACTTCAAAATAAACCTGATTATAAACATGATTTTCAATCGTGGATCTCAGTTTCTAATCCTTCAGAAGACCTAGGTGTAAATTCTCTGTATGCAAGTTGCTTGGCTCAAACTGCAGCACCAGAAGTTACCATGTCTATTTAGAAGTGGGTAACAAATATGAACTGATTTTCAGAAATGCTTGAGGTCTTGGTAATTTCAAAGAAAGCTGTAGATGTTCAGTATCTCTGGGAAAAAATAAAATTAAGAGACCCTCAGTTGTTTTCTTGTGCTAAATATTAATTCTTGGAAGACTGACCACACACATGCTGGCTCACTTCTTGTTTGACCTCACTGAGCCCTGTTTTCCTCCTCTGGATTATATACACAATAATGATATCTCTCCCTATAATTTGTCTGAATAATGCTATGCAAATAATAGATTTGATTAATTACTGTCCACCTCACACATAAGGAATAGGCACATTGGTAATTTAACCTTGTCTAAAGATTTTGGCTTTTGAACTGTTAATTTGACAAGTAAGTGAAAACCCCAAACACTTGCACTTACATAACTTGTTAAAATGAAAGCCAAAGCCATACCTTACTGATATGAACAATGCCTGCAAATAAACAGGCACTTCAGATTTTCTTGCATAAACAACTGGAAACAGGTCTGAGCAAATGGAGGCAAGTCCATACCTTCACCACGCAGTCCCTGGAGCCAGGGCAACGGGACTGAGCCAGTTGTACCTGCCAGGGCCCTGCCTGCACCTCCCCTGCCCCAGGGTTTCTGTGTCTGCGCTCCAGGTCTGTCCTGATAGCGTTTGATTGTAATGTGGATTCAGATTAGGAAACTGGGACCTGCCCTTTTATTCCAGGCAACAGGAATAAAAGGAGGAGGAGGAGCGGTGCTGAAGCGAAGTCCCTCAGCCCCATCCTTGCCCAGGCTGTGTCCAGGGTGTGCCCATGCCTGGTCTCTCCCTCCCTGCCCCACTGCCCTCCTGGCCTGAACACCAGCCCCTGCTGCTCGCTGACACCCCTTCCCCCTTCTCACAAAGGGATCAAAGGTGGAAAAAAAAAAAGGTCTCCTTATTAATTTCCTTTATTCTGGATGAAAAATTATTATTTCTTTGATTGCTTTGGGTAAGCAGAGGCCTGTGGAATCTTGCCCTACCTAGGTTTTTACCTCAGATGCTTTTACAGAGGAATTTGGTCATAAATCATGGCAGGCAGGGCACTGAGGGGAGGGGACACCTGACCAGGACACAGTAGGAACCATAGGTTCTTGGGAGCCAGTATGCTAATAAAACCTTCCTATATTTGGTCAAGTTTCCAGTCTTCCTTCACCATTGGTCAAGCCCTTTTTCTTATAATGTCATGTTCTAAGTTCACTTTTCTGATTGAGCCTGTGCCCAATACCTGGTTGTATTTGTCCTGCCCCTGGGGTCTTTGGAACCTAGTCTCTGGCATTTGTTATTTTTGCTATTAAAGTTTTTTATTTTCTGTCTAGTTCCATTGTTCCCATTTGTCTTTATTAGCCAGCTCTTCCCAGCAAAGCCAAAGCAGGGAGACCTCACAAGGCTTCAAAGCTCATAGAGGCCCCTTCATACTTCTGTGCCTATGGTGACCTAGCTTTAGTCTTCATAGTGAATTGATAAAAAAATCTGGATGGAAAGCTTTCCTGGAAACTCTGCTCTTACAGGACAAGTGCCCAGCTGGGACTCACAAATGAACAAACTATACCTGGAAAATTCATGCCAAAACTTCCTATAATCTAAAATGCAAACTGCTGAATGCTTTCAGCACATGCACACATCACCAGTCCTCACCATACACACAGGTGGCTGCCGTTCTGCAGAGGCCTATGGAGGTGCAGTGTGAACAGCCCTGACTCACCCAGAGAGCCCAACTCAGTCTGAAACAAACCTGCCTTGCCTGTGACACTGGCAGGGCTCAGGGTGATGAACACACCACCTTGGCATCTGAGCCACACTGGCCTGCCTTTGCTGAGGGGCACGGTAGCAAACACCAACAAAATTCACCGTGTGTCATACAACCCCAGTAAACATGCTTGGGGGAGAAAGCAAAAGTGTAGCTCAATGTTGTAGCCAATTATGTATTATCTAGCCTAATACATATGTTGTAGCATTATGTATTATCTAAAGAAAAAAAGGCAGAAAAGCCTCTTCACTGGCTCATTAAAGAGATACTCATTGTCACCATCCTGTACACAGGTAAGATTCAAAACAAATGTGCTACCAGCTGACCAATTAGACACAGGCACTTAGAATGTTACTCCAGTTAGCCTGTGCTTTTTAAGGCAAACCATTAGGTCCTCTCCTTGTGTTTGTAGTTCCTTAGCATAATGGGGCTTTGGTCTGTAACTGATATTCCTACAGCTGTTCAATAGTTGAGGCATTTAAGGGATATCAGAAAACTGCCCAGTACAACTGGCAGATAGCCTAGCTGGTTGTCACAGGACAAACTAAGGATAGGACAAAGAAAACAACTTCAAAAGAAAAGTAGAAATGAAATGGTAGGATAGTTTTGCACTCTGGCTACACACTAGATAATCTGAATGAAAAAAGACAGCTTTTGAATAGTTGCACAGATATTAATTTCCACATTAAGGTAAAGGGAGAATGATGGAATCTAGAATTACTTTTTCCAAGTAGTTTAACTTTAAAAAAAGCTAATCTTTCTTTTGGGTAAATGCAGCAGTAAAGAATCAAAATTTTATCATATTAATGGTGTAACTCAAAGCAAAAAGCCCCATATTATTTCAAGTCCATTTGTGCCTCTAATATACTTGAAATTATCCCAGCCATTGCATGATGAAAAATCTCATTGTTTGCTGAGATTTTTCATTTGATTAGTTTCCCTCTGGTTTATCAATTTTCTATATTTATTTTTTTGTAACATATTTTAGTTTTTCTAAGTCCAAACATTTTGTTTCCAGTGTCTTCTCTAACTAGCAATAGTAGAATGATATGACCAATTAAAAGCAGATTACACTGCATGGTGTATTTCCATTATGTCTTCAGCCTGTGCCTAATAGCACTGTTTTTCTTTCAACAAAATATTTTGGTTTCCTTGAAGAAGTCCAGTGACAGAGATGAAAACAAAGATTAAATTATCCAAACACAGATGCTCAAAAGCAAACATATAAGAACCCCACTACAAGGATCCTTAGAAAAGTAATGCTTTAATTTGCTAGAGAACAAATATTATGAATATCAGATTAGGGGACATGCTGAGCCTTGAATTTTGAAGGAAGCCACTTCGAGACATCCTGTTTCTTAAAATGACTGATCTTATCTGTGAAACAGCAACATGCCTCATTTGGGAAGATGCCCCAGACCAATAGCAGTGATGGTCAGAGAATTTCAATTTCCAGTCTAAACATACTTACAACCAGTGGACACAATCTGAACAGTCTGTTCCAGGGATTCCCCCAAGTGACGCTTTTTTCATAAGTAATTTCTGTCATGTAAAGGCCAATGGAAACATACATCTCTTTCATCCAGTCATCTTTGTGCCCACAGTAATTCTCCAAATCTCTTCAAACAGATATTATACCCTCCACTCCAGCTTCCTACAGACTCACCTACAGGTATCTATTGCTTACTGCTTTTTGTTTCCTTGGACTCTCTGCTCTTGTGTCTGTATTTTTTAGCCTTTTGTCTGTGTAACATACAGTGTTAGCAGATTCATCAGCCATGTGCAAGGGAAGGAGAGAAACCTCCTTCCAGCCTTCCCCAGTGCACTAGGTCTTCATCCTCATCTTCTAGAGGTGAAGCTGCAGATGACATGGCACATGCAGAGGTCAGCCGGGGGGCACACCTTCAACTCAACAGACTGACACTTGCCGAGCCTGACAGACAGCTAACTTTTCTGACTATCAACAGAATTTTCAGGCACTTGCAGTTAAAGAACATATTTTAAGATGTTGGTTCAGGGAATTAATTTGAATGTTTTTGAATAGATTTGATTGGAACTGAAAAGAAATAACTCTACAAAAGATCCTAAGATTCCTAAGAAAAGACAAGCTTTAAATAAGTGGGCTGGACATTTTAAACAATCCAACAGGAATGAAGATTCTTAGAGCCAATGTGTGAGTCAGGGACAGAGCTGGTACTAAAACTTAACTTTGCAACTCATGAATCCAGGGTCCTTCTAAGGCACTACAGTACTACAGCTACTACAGTAAAGCAGCTTATGTGTATTTTCAGGGTGAGATAAGAGACTGGAAACTGTGCTGCTCACCTAACTCTCAGTTAGCAGCCAGATCAAAAGGCAGGAGGCCAAATTAGATAGATCAAATATCTATCTATGCTGACATTGCTAAAAGCATGTGAAATATAGAACTGCATTAACAGATTCTGTTGTGGACTAGACCTCTTGTTACTCAGGCAACTTGAGTAGGTGATCATTTATAATTTTGTATCGGTGAATTTCCCAGTTGATGAAAAACAATACTTATTTGAGCTCCTCCACATTCTCTCAGTCTTGTCTTAGCTTGAAGAGAAAGAAAACCCCTCACTGATGCATGAGAAAGCAGGAAAGCAGACACAACAAAAAGCACAGCGTTGCTTAATGAATTGGGAAAGGAATGAGAATATTTGTCTTGTAGCTTTTTGCATACAAGGTGCTTCCCCCAACATCACGTAGGGAGTGTGCACTTGGCTTGCTTTTCCAATTACCATGTACCAAGTAAGCAAGGAATAGATCAAGTAGGAAGCTTGAAGGATAATTTTTAATGTCCACTCTGAGGTTTCCAATAGGATTCATGTCCCTGTGTTTTGTCTAACTATAGGCTAAACTGCTACTTGTAAGCTAACTTTGTATAAGTCAGATTTAAAGTAGCTTAATCCATTTACACTTGCAGCTGGAACAGCTTTATTCAATGGGTTCTTCATTAAGGTAAGCTAATTGTACCTCTTTGGTTACCAACCTTCTCCAATACAGATACCCTGCAATAAAGTGAAGCACCACAAATTCAACGTGATTGAATGCAGTGAACATATTCTTCACATACCTATGTTGTAAGGCACTTCTGCCTTAGGAAAAGAAAATAGAACTGAAAAATCCCACACAATTCTCTACAAATGAAAGAATTTCAATTATTCACTTGTTTTAAGAATATGATCCACATGTGGTGGGTCAAATAAGTAGGGATTCTTTCTCAAAGGCTGTTGTGGTATGAAAAATTACTTGATCACACCAAAGTAGCTTCTAAATGCAACTTTTTTTTCAGCAACACATAGCCTTTCGTTAGTTCTATAGGAATGCACTAACCCTCACCACAAACACAAGGCCTGAGAACGAGTGTAAGGATAAATTAATTAAGCAAATAAAGTGTTAAGTAGCTGATCCACTGAGCACAGGGGATTGTGGTTTCTCTGGAATCATTTACCCAAGCCATTGTCAGGAACAAAACTGTAATGCAATATCACATAGCATGTGAATCAGCACCTTCAAACGTGCTCACCTTTACACTGACACTGGTGCACAAAGGTGCTAGCCTGCAGCCAGAGCTTCTTAGTCCCTGCAGAAGAAAAGAAATCATTTGTTGCTTTTCTCATCAGAGATATCTATCCTTTATAACATTCAGGCTCAAATTTCAGTTTCAGACATGCTAAAGCACAGAGTGGTGATGTGCTTGAATTTCTCCATCAACAATTTGCAGGAATAGAATCAATTATATGCCCCACCAACATTCTTTCCAGCAGGTGGGAGTAGAACTGCTCTTCTGGTTGTTTTCCATCCACAGAACAGAATGGGAACCCCAAGGTATTCAGAATATTATGATATACTGCTACTCTACATTCATGATGTCCTGAAAAGGAGCATACTTCCCAATTTGCAAGAAACCAGCTCCTTGAAGGTTAAACATTATTCAAGGGAGGAAGGAGATAAGCCATCCTATAAAGGATGTCTGTAATTATTAATAAATACAATGAAGGAAAGTAAGACCATCCTGTTGGAAAGCAGTGTGAAAGGAAACAAGGAACCATTTCCTCCTGAAGCCACACATTCACCATGCTGTACACTCCCAGTCACTGAGAGTGTCATTATCAGTCACGTTATAAGGTGAGACCAACTCCTACTGTTCCCTTGGGAACTCATGCAAAAACTTGATAGAAAACAAACTGAAGGCAAACGTATTTGAAAAGTTGGAAGAGAGTTTCCAAAGATACATCTGCATTTTGGTACTTCTTTTCTTAGCAGTAATCATGACATAGACAACAGAAACCTATGCAAGCAAGGTAAGGCCACTTTACAATTATTTCTGCAAGCAGTGACACAGAATTGAGCAGGAAATGCACTGAGAACTGGTACACAGAAAAGCCATCTTCCTGTGCAATGAGAGTGCTGCCTGACACAAACACTTCAAGAACCCCATGGCTGCAGAGATTAAAATGCCCCAGAGACAGAAGGACACTGAATAACATAGGCTTTGGCAAATTCACCTCCTGAACGCTGTTGGTTGCCAAGAAAATTCATTCTGACTCACAAGAAGCCATATGTATTGTTCCACAAAAGGATATGAACAAGTGTAATACTGATGGCCCATAAAAGCAGTTAAAAAATACAGCAGCTTTAATAGATTTCTATCTGGTCTGAAGAATAATTCTGGTCTGCAGACCAGAGGCTCACTGAATGGCACTTGTCCAAAAAGACCTGGCGGGTGGCCTGCCTGGGAAAAAGAGAGCAAAAGGACGGAAGCGGAGGTGACCTGGTAATGTGTCAGCAAGGAGTGGCAGGCCTGAAAAAGTCTTTATGGAGCCAAAATGGGATAGAGGCATATAATCAAAGCCTATTTTCCTACAAAAGTTCTGCCCTGCAAAGCCCTTTTTCTTTTTTTGTTTTTAAGGCCTGTGTGACAGGAACCCTGAGGAAACCCCACCTGACCTTCCCAGGACTGATGCTTAGTAATTGATAGTGCTGTTTACACAAGTGTCAGGATATTTCATTATAAAATTTGGCCCCTTAATTGTTAGATTTAGTTCTGAATTATTTCACAGAATGGTTGACTGAAGATTTGCATATTTGTCAAGAAGATTTACAAAGATTTACAAAGCAAAAAAATCCAAGCCATAGTACTGTGGATGTTCAGACTCTCATCTGTTAAAAACACTTTTGGCTTTGCATATCTGTAAGATCTATCTTGGACAAGAGCATGCTTCTCACATAGTCATTAGTCAAACTGCACAGCATGTCTGGGCAGTAACTAAGGTTTATAGTCCACTAAATGGATATGTCAGTCAGAAACTGAAAAATTCTGACTCACCTAAAGCAACAAAAAATGGTGATAGCAAATAATTCAGATCTACACAATAACATTTTTCTACTTTGTTTGATGTTACTCTTTTAGGTTAACTAGCAGAACTCTTCAACTCTGTTTCCAAAAATAACTCTCTTCATCCCATGTCTGTAAGATCTTCCCCTTCTACACTGACCAGGCTGGAAATAACAGCCTTCCTGCTATTAAAAAACCTACATTTCAAAAACTTGTTTGCATGTCACAAATTTCCATGTCTCCACTACTTTCAAGCTTTTAAAAAAATTGTAAAATCACATCCAATGAGGATGTTCCCCTTGCACCTGGTAACTTATCACTCCCTCCGGGTCTGCATCCTAACTGTTTATATATCTGTCTAAAAGGACTCAAGCATGCTAACAGTATTTGAAAGAGAGAAGACACAAATTGACAAGATACACCATAAACAGCCCAGATCCACCAATAAAAAGCAGGGATAAAGGAGGTATCAACATCCCTTCAAAAGCTGAAACTGAGAAAAGGTTTAAGAGCCATTTTTCTTACTGGTATAGGCACCAAGGCAAGATTGCCCAGATTTGGAGCCCAGAAACACTGCTGTTCTCTGTAAGTAAAGGAGCTCAGTCTAATTTTTTGCTGAGAATTCACTATTTGTTTTAATGTCCCCACAAACTATTTGGCAGCAGCACAAAAGTTTCTTCAGAGAGCTGTGGGATATTACTGAGCATTTCATGCTCCTAGCAATGCAGTAATTCCCTAACCACTGTATAATTAAGGGCTTTGTTGAGGTCTGGTGACATATTTGAGTACTTGCAGTGCTGCACCTTGTTTCATAGGTCAGACTGACATGCACCGAGAAAAAAGCCAAATTTCTAGTCAATATATTTTTCTGCAAAGATGGATTCTTCAGCAGTCTTTCACTGCTGGTAGAAGTGTAGTCCATCCCCAACCTATTCCACTTGTCCTCCCCTTGGAACATAACCATTCTCTACATTTGCTTTCAGCCACCATTTAAGCCCCAGTGCTCAGAGAACTGACTTGGCTTTCTCGAGGTCAGAGCAGCTACACATTGAGCCTTTTGTTCTCATCACCCAATGAAAAGAGAACAAAATTCCTGAGTAGATGATTCTATCTTATTTGATCATAGTTTATAATTTCTTCCTTTGTTTCCTGTCATGGACTTCCCTGGGAAAGAAAAGAAGAAGCTTTCCCTGCCTAGTGTGTGATTTCCCTGCCCTTCTGCTGACAAGCCAGATGGCTGGTGCTGACTGGTGATAATATTACACTCCATGCAAGAGGCAAAGGGGAAGTGACCTGTCAGCATTCAAATAATAAAACTTGCAACTGCCACATTTCACTGCTGATGACTTACTCATATTTGTCTTTTACAGCCTTTCCACCCTGCAAAATCCTAAAAAAAAAAAAAAAGTGAAAATACGTTGCAGAATTAAAGACTGATTCTGACAACCTTTTTTCATGCAGGTGCTTCATGAAAGTCTGCTGTAAAATCATGTGGATGACTCATACGAATGTGTGCAGAAGCAAGCACCGTTCTTCTATGCTAAGTACATTTACTGAGAACAACAAATCATTGACTGCAAGATGGGCAGTTACATCTCTTGAACAGGCATTCAGAGAGCTGATAAAGGCTTTAAACAACTTGAGTGGCAAACACGGATCACCTTCAATTGCCTAACTTGTTTTAAGTGCCATTTCATGCTTCATGTCCCATCAACATAAAGATATGAGAACTAATTGAGATGCTATCACACTTCTGCATTTTTCCAGTTCAACACTATCTGTTCCTTTCATGTACTGATATTTCAAATTTAAGGAATTCTGGCTCAAGCTGTGATATATGTAGAGAAAAAGAGAAAATGTTATCTCAAAGGATTTTATATGAGTTTCCAAAATCTCACATATAGAAACAAGTCACCTGTATTTAGACATTAGTATGTTAAATAAAATTCAGAAGGTGGTATAATAGAGAAGTGATATCCTGGGCAAGTATGGGCATTCTAACCTGCTAGTGTAGTAGAAACTACAGACTGACTTTTCTACAGTGACTAAAACCCCTTGAGGCTTAATGTAATTTAAGCTGCTTTTCTTAAGGAAGTATGTTCAATGTAGGTTTTGGCAACATTTTATTTTTCACACATGATGAAATAGCCAGCAAAACATCCTGCCCTTTCTCACACAGATGAAATAAACTCTATGATTTTCCATGAGAAGGCTTAAAAAAACCCCAAAAAACCCACAGAACTAGCTCCAATCTGATCTCTGTTGAAAACATGGTGTTTGGTAGAATATACATTTCTATAGGAACTGAGTGGGGTTTTGCATATCCATTTTATCAGAAATTTTGGATGTTTTCCATAAACATTAGTGCCTCCACTGAATAGGGTGACTTAAATACTTCGGTCACACACTATTCCATGACTTTCTGGCATGTAAAAAGGTTGGCTAGGAAAGACACAGGGCTGAAACTCAGGGCATTCCCAGAAAATACTCCTGATTCTCTCATGGTAAGACATCAAGAAAATCTTTGTCAACCTGCTGCAAAATACGAGTCTGGATTTGGTTTATGCATCACCTTTCTATCTATAGAAATGGGACTTTTCTGAATAGAAAGTCTTCAGGGCAAGGAGGGTGACTTAGCAAGCACTTGTAAATTTTCTGGCAGGCTGGAAGTCTGATTTCAGCACTGGCCTCCAGGCAAAACCTTAAAGGTATGCAAGAGATAATAAACTTTGCTGCAACTTCCCTGTGAAGCACCTGGATGCTATCAGTGATCATTATCTGACTGCCTTGTCTATTTGATGGCTCTGCATTGCTTGCAGAGGGCTAAGAGTTACATCTAATGGTGTTTCATATATGTACCTGGGAAAAGGTAAGAAATTTCACATATTTGGTAACAAAACAGGTGTTAAAAGCCTCACATATTTTGGGTGGAACATTGCTACAGGACATGCAATTGTGAATAGAATTTCTGAGAATCTGTCCAGAGTACAAGAGGCAAGAGCTGAAATTTTGCTTCCCTGTGAGTAGTGACACTTGAGTAAGTGTCTGCTTCAGTGCAAAGGAAGGTGCTGAGCACTGTCTAGAATAATTTGCATGCTGGCCTTTTATTGTTATGTGCTTCCTCTGTCCTTTAGATGTATACATAATAAGGAAATTTTTCTGGGTCTTTGTGTTAACAAAAAATTACAGCTGTCTTCTAAACAAGTTGTTTGGAAGTGGTTAGGCAGAATGAAGCTGAAAAAATAACA